ACAACTAGGCATAAGGTCAAGGAAGGAACTGTATAAACCAACCAGACCTAACAAACACATGTAGAACACACTAGTAGCAGCAGTGTATATATTCTTAAGTGGACATGGAACATTTTCCAGGCTATAGCATGTGCTAGGATACAAAACAAGCCTAGAGAAATTTAAAAGTACTAAAATATAAAACATGTTCTTTGACCATTTCAAAGAAATTTGGGAAACTCACAAATAATGTGTGTGTTAAATAGCATACTTCTAAATAATCAGTAGGCCAAAGAAGAAATTATAAGAGAAATCAGAAAAATACTTTGAGATAAGTGAAAATGAAGATACCAGGGAACCAGCAGTTAGCGTAATGGCTATGTCGCTGGACTCCCACGTAGTCGACCGTGGTTCGTGTCCCGGACTCGGTGGCTTAAAACTCACGCCGGGCGCGTGTGCGTGCGTGCCCAAGATCCCGGGAGGAGAATGGAGGAGAAGGGATTGCGGCGTGACCATCCCCCCTGGGGGGTGATTTCTCGCTTTCTGTCTCTATGTCTCTCTCTGTCTGTCTGGCGAGCGCACGCGCCCTACAGTGAAAATCTCTCCAAAAAAAAAAATGAAGATACCACATAAGAAAAGTTAACAATGCAGCTAAAATAGTTCTTCAAAAGGGAAAGTTATATTTGTAAATGCCTATATGTAGGAAAGAAGAAAGATCCCCTCCCCCAAAAAAGGGCAGAGTGAATGCAAAGCAAGTAAAAGAGTAAATAAATACTAAAGATTAGAGTGCAAATCGGTGAAATAGAAAATACGAAAACAGTATAGTAAACAAATGGTCAAAAACTAGTTTCTTGAAAAGATCAAAATTGACATATTTTTAGCCAGATTAAGGAAGAAAAAGGTAGAGAAGACTCAGATTATTTGAGTCAGAAATGAAGAAAGGGGAACTAGTGATTTCAGGGAAAAACAGAGAAATAAAGATTTTCTACTGATAATTCAGCCTCCAGCCTCCAAACTCTAGTGGTAGGGAGCCCCTTTAGCCTTCTCTCTGTCTCTGTCTCTCTCTCTGTCTTCTCATTTTTTTGTAATTTTTCCTTTTTTAAAATTTTTAAGGTAAAGTATTCTCTTGGCTTTCAGTCTCACCTTTATCTTGCTAATAATCCCTTTCCCCCCCTCCTATTCAGGAGAAGGGGCAGGCCTTAAGACTCCTCCACAGCTCCTGAGAACTAGTGATTTTGTGTGGCACGCTTGCGTGTTTGTTTTTTTTTTTTAATTTTTTTGGTTTTTAAATTTTTTCCCTTTTTCTCTCTGTTTCATAGTATCTCTCCCTCCTCTCTCTTTCCTTTTCTTTTTCTTTTATCTCATCACTGCTCCTCAATCTCCACTGTTTTTCTAGACGGATCTAAGGGAACCATAACCAAACATCCAAATACTATTAGGGTTAACATGTTCCTCAGTATCCACTGAATTGCTGCACAAAGGGATAAAAACGGAATGGCAAAAAGATTCCAGATTACCTCCTTCTGCACACTCCTGAACGCTCAGATTGAACTTCAAGAATTAGGAAGAAAGGGACCAGCAGTTAGCATAATGGCTATGTCACTGGACTCCCACGTAGTCGACCATGGCTTGCGTCCCGGACCTGGTGGCTTAAGACTCACGCTGGGTGCGTGTGTGTGCGTGCCTAAGATTTTGAGAGGAGATTGGAGGAGAAGGGATTGCAGCGTGGCCATCTCCTCTTGGGGGGTGATTTCTCGCTTTCTGTCTCTCTGTCTGTCTCTGTCTGTCTGGCGAGCGCACATGTCCTATAGCAAAAACCTCTCCAAAGAAAAGAATTAGTAAGAAACACACTATCCATCAGATGACTAGAAATCACTGCAGGACCACAAGAAATATGGGAAAGCAGGGACCAGCAGTTGGCATAAAGGCTGTGTCGCTGGACTCCCATGTAGTTGACTGTAGTTCAAGTCCCGGACCCAGTGGCTTAAACTCACGCGATGCACCAGGCACATATGCGTGCCCAAGATCTCGAGAGTAGAATGGAGAAGGGATTGCGATGTGGACATCCCCCGCCCGGGGTGGTGGTGGTGATTTTTCATTTTCTGTCTGTCTGTCTGGCGAGCGCACATGCCCTATATAGCAAAAAACCTCTCAGAAAGAAAGAAAAAAAAATCTGGGAAAGCAAGAAAATACCTCTTCTCCAAGGGTAAAGAATAACTTCTATTCATCCACAGACAGTTCAATGGAAATCATGGAAATGTCTGGTAAAGAATTTAGAATATTCATAATAATGAAGCTAACAGAGATGGAAAAGAAGGGAGACAATGAACTGGGAAGAGGCAGGAGAAAGGAACTGATGAGTTCCAGGAGGTGAGGGATTTCTTGCACGATCTAAAAGAGGAATTACACACTTTAAAAAAGAATCACAGGGACCTTCTAGAGATGAAGGCTATAATACAGGAAGTAAAAATCTCCCTTGAAAGTATTAAAAGCAGACTAGACCATACAGGAAATAGAATCTCAGACGTAGAAGAAAAAATTGCTGGCCTAGAAAAATCCACCACAAAGACTGAGAAAATTGCCCCCCAAAATGAGAATAATATATGAGAAATACTAGATACCATCAAACGTCCAAACATCCAAATTGTTATCCCAGAAGTCAAAGAGACTCATAAGGGCATTGATAATCTATTCCATGAAATCCCGTAAAAAAAACTTTCCAAACCTAGAGAGGCACTCAGAGATCCAACCCCAAGAAATACAAAAGACCCCAAATAGAATCACCCCAAGAAGATCTTCTCCAAGACACCTTATAGCCAGATTGACCAACACCACAGACAAAGACAAGATGTTAAGATTGGCAAGAGAGTAACTGCAAGTTACCTACAAAGGATATCCCATCAGACTAACGGCAGACCTCTCATCAGAAACAATGCGAGCGAGGAAAGAATGGGAAAATATATTCAAAGTGTTAAGGGAAAAGCAATTTCAACCAAGAATGCTCTACCTGGCAAGATTGTTCTTCATATGGGAAGAAAAGACAAGAACATTCTCAGATAAACAAAACCTGAAAAAACTTACCAACATCAGATCAGATCTACAAGAAGTTCTCAAGGGAGTGCTATACCAGGAAAATTAAATACAGACACACAGAAATATGAGTTCAAAAACTAAGAAAATGGCCAATTTAATCATAGGGACAAGTCTGGAGTTGAATATTATATCCCAGGATTTAATCAGGAAGATCGAACCACAACAGAAGATAAAGTACATGAGGCAGAACTGGTGAAATAGCATTTAATGACTTTTGATGAAAACATTGCTGATTTTCTTCTAGGCTTTGTTGTCTGGTTTTAAGGGTTTTTGTCCTGTTGAGCTGTCAATAGATTTATGTACCTACTATTTGAACAGAATCCTAGCCTGTTTCCTGGATTTAAGTTTTAAGTAAAGTTCTTTAGGTGTTTTTTTGTTTTGTTTTGTTTTTTAAAAAAGTTAAAACTGCTTTTCTTGAAATTACCAGCTGAACTTGCTATTGAAAGTAGTTAGAGGGACCAGCAGTTAGCATAACGGCTATGTTGCTGGACTCCCATGTAGTCGACCGTGGTTCGAGTCCCGGACCCGGTGGCTTAAACTCACGCCAGGCACGTGTGTGTGCATGCCCAAGATCTGGAGAGAAGAAAGGATTGCAGCATGGCCATCCCCCCGGGGGGTGATTTCTTGCTTTCTGTCTCTCTCTCTCTGTCTTCTGGCGAGCGTATGTTTTCCAACCAAAAAAAAAGAAAGAAAGAAGTTAGCTTATTTAAGAAAATGTGAGGGAAAAAGGAATGGAAAACAAATATAGACAGTAGAGATCGTATAGGAGGAGGGTGCAAAAGGGCATAGGGTCAGAAATAAGTAAAACACACACACACACACACACACACACACATGAAACTAGAAATGGCAGATTATTGATGATAACATGCATAATTAAGCCACTATGCAGTATATTCTGCATGGGAAATCACATTTTGTATGCTGTGACAGTGCTTAGGGAATGAATGTAAATTAATTAATTAAAAATCTTTCAGAATAAAAAAGCTCATGGAAGTATGTGTAAAAAGCTCATGGAAGTATGTGTAATGGGAAAACTGAATTTCAAAAAGTTTTTGTACCAAAATAAATTCATACTTTAATTGTAAAACAAAACAAAAAGAAATGAAGAAAGGACATTATTAATGACTTCATAAAAATTTAAAGCCTTATAAAAGAAATACGTCAGACACGCATGTGCCCCATAGCAAAAACCTCTCCAAAAAAAAAGTTCTAAAAGTTACCATGGTGATGGTTACACACAGTTGTGGATACACTAAAAACTTTCAAATCATACATTTTTTTTTTTGGAGAGGTGTTTTGCTATGGGGCACGTGTGCTTGCCAGAAAGACAGAGAGACAGAAAGTGAGAAATCATCCCCCCAGGGGGATGGTCTTGCCTCAGTCCCTTCTCCAGTCTCCTCTCGGGATCTAGGACACACATGCACATGTGCCCATTGTGAGTTTAAGCCACTGAGTCCGAGGTTCGAACTGTGGTCGACTACATGGGGGTCCAGTGACATAGCCATTGTGCCAACTGCTGGTCCCTCAAATCATACATTTTAATAGAGCTCTTTAAAAGTACCCTTTTCTGGGACCAGCAGATACTGTAATGGTTAAGTTGTTGGGCTCCCACGTAGTCAGTGGCTTTTTGAGTACCAGACCCGTTGGCTGAAATCTCACAAGGTGCCTGTGTGCCAGATAGGAACTCAGGGGAGATGGGATTACGGTGTTGCCAAACCCCCCCGGGGTGATTTCTTGCTTGCTTTCTTTCTCTCTCTGTCTTTCTGAGAAGTGCACCTGCCCTATAGCAAACATCTCTCAAAAAAAGACCCTTTTCTGGTATCTGTAGGTGTTGAATCTGAGTGTGTAGTGTTTAAAAGATTGAGCACCTATAATATTAGAGTTCTTTATGGTCGGCTCATGTATTCTTTCTCTTATTTTTGCAGAAATCATGACCACCCCGGGAAAAGAGAACGTTCGCCTGAAAAGTTACAAGAACAAATCGTTGAATCCTGATGAGATGCGCAGGAGGAGGGAAGAAGAAGGACTACAGTTACGTAAGCAGAAGAGAGAAGAGCAGGTAAATCTTTTACCTTTATTCATTTCTTTTAAAGAATTTAAAGTATAATTTTAAGCCTGAAACCATCTTCCATTTAAGAGTGATGAATAAAACTAGATAAAACTATCATATAGACAGTCATTCTTTTTTTAAAAAATTTTTATTTCTTTTTTTATATACATTCAATCATACTGTTTTGCTTAGAAAGTGAACATTTCAATATGTGAACATTTCTTTCCAGTCCAGTTGGTCAGAATATCTTCAACAGATAACACCACACCTCCCCATCCCGTCAATGCTCTGCCTCTGTATCCCTCCTCCAAATGTCCTTCCCTAGGCCTCACTCCTCCACACACACCACATGTGGCATTCACATCCATCTCTTGTGTTTGTATATCTTTTAGTCAATCAGTTTCAGTCATAGACTGTAGACACTCAGTATATATTAAGTGGGGACATAAAGTGTCTCTCCTTTATACCCTGGCTTGCTTCACTCAGCAGTAAATCTTTCATATTCTTCCACTTTCTGTCAAAAGCTAGGGTTTTGTTGTTCTTAATGGCCGAATAGTATTCCATAGAGTATATGTGCCACAGTTTTTCAATCCATTCGTGAACAGTGCCGCAATAAACATCGATGTGCAAGCACTTTTCCAATTAAGAATTCTGTCCTTTGGGTAGATACCGAGGAGTGGGATTGCTGGATCATATGGTAGTTCTATTTGTAGATTTTTGAAGAATCTCCAAATTGTTCTCCATAGTGGCTGGACCAATTTACATTCTCACCAGCAGTGTAAAAGAGTTCCCCTTTCACCACACCCCCTCCATTACTTATCATTTTTTGTTTTTTTAATCTTAGACATTCTGACTGGGGTTAGGTGGTATCTTGTTGTTTTGGTCTGCACTTCTCTTACGATGATGGATGTTGAGCATTTTTTCATATGCCTTTTGGCAATTTGTATGTCATCTTTAGAGAGTATTTTTTTTCATCTCCTTCTCCCATCTTTTAATAGGGTTGACCATCTTTTTTCTAAACAGCTTCTTTAGTTCCTTACGTATTAGACAATCATTCTTAAATATGTATGTGCACATTCACACACACACACACACACACACACACACACAATTTTCCTTCATCCATCCTCTATAAAACCAAAGCTTTTTGTGGGTGGGGCAGAGGAGGTACTGAAAAGTGGAATGCAAGAATGGAGATGTCTTAGATTCTCTTTTTGTCAGTATAACCACTATTTCTTGTTTTAGGGCTCTTTGTTTAGTGTGTTTTCTTTTTCTTTCTTTTTTTACAATTTTCTATGGACTACAGATGACATAACGGCTACACATTGCTGGACTCCTGTGTAGTCCACTGTGGTTTGAGTCCCGGATGTGGCAGCTCAAAAACTCATGCTGGGTGTATGTGCTTGTGTGCCCAAGATCCTGAGAGGAGATTGGAGAAGGGATTGTGTGGCCATCCCCTCTGGGAGGTGATTTCTTATTTTCTGTCTCTGTGTCTCTCTGGCCAGTGCATGTGCCCTATTTAAAAAAAAAAAATTCAAAAGAGGGCATGTATGTTTGCTGGAAAGAGAGAGCAGGAAAGTGAGAAAGCATCCTCCATGCGGGAGGCTTATGCCACAGTCTCTTCCGCATTTCTCCTTTTGGGGTTTTAGGCATGCACACACAATGAACCTGGTAGTTTTTCAAGATACTGGGTTCAGGACTTGAAGGATGCAGTTGGCTACCTGGGCTCCAGCAGCCTTAACCACCATGCCACCGTCTCTCATAGTATTTTATATTTTTTTGAAATATAAGGAAGCTGTACTTTGTTTCTTTAAGATTTTTGTGATTGTTTGTGAATTCTAAAATGACAAGATACTGCTTCTCATTGCAACCTTAATTTGAAAATTTATAAACATAGACAAAAATAAAGAATAATGAGCCTCAGGGCCAGCTGCAACATGGTGTTTAAGGCAGCTGGATCTCATATAGCTGATTGTACATTTCAAGTGCTAGACCCAGAAGCTTGAGAAGCATGCTGGGTATGTGTGCATGTGTGTCCAAAATCCTAAAGGGGAAGAGAAATGTGAGAACTGTGACCATACCCCATTGGTGGGTGCTTTCTCACTTCTCTTACTCTCTTTTTCTAGTAAACATGTGCACACTCTGAAAAAAAAAAAGAGCTTCATAAACTAATCCTTTATATTCAGTAATCTTTAACATTTTATCTCATTTGTTTCCTTTCTACCTTTATATTTGTTTAATTACCTTACTTTTTAAAAAGGAATTACTTTTATATATTATTATTATTATTATTTTAATTTTGAGTGCAAACACCAGAGGAAGAAAGAGCAAAAACTGCTGGTCAGGAGTCAACCATGTGGGAGTCCAGCATCTTATCACCACTCCACCTGCTGGTCCCTATTACCTAACATTTAAAAAAAAATCTTAGGGACTGTCTCTTTACTCCTGAACAATTCTGTATTGTTCTTAGGAAATTTTCAGACATTTTTTTTTTTTTTCAAAGTATTTTAACATGAGAACATCCACTGGAGCACTTGGGATTTAACTTCACTTTACCTTTTTTTAAAAAATGTTTAGGATAGGGCTGACCCCATAGCCTAGTGGTTAAGGGAGCCAGAACCTACCTTGCCAAACCCAGTGGCTTGAAAAATACACTGTGCACGTATGAGTGAGTACTTTACATTTCAACAGGATGGAGAAATGAAAGGATTAGGACATGATTATGCTCCTTTAGACCATGCTTTCTTTGGTGAGCATTTTTGCCCTCTGGCAATTAAAAAATGAAACATTTAGGGGCCAGCCACTGGTGTGGTGTCCTCAGTTCTTCATCCCATCAAGATTTTGGCAAGCATGCACATGTACCAGGCATGTTTTTCAAGCTGCTGAGACTGGGATTCGAACTATGGCCTACCATGTAGGATCCAGCTCCCTACACACAGGGCTTAACCACTGTACTGTGGGGCCAGCCTATCACCTGAAGTTTTATTTATTAAAGTTGTTGATGTTTGAATCAAAGACTTTATCATTAATATTATTATTGGCAAAGATAGTTTGTAAGATTATAGTAGATTTTATATTTAAATGCACCAAATTAGGTAATGAATTCTTGACATTCTGCTTTATCATTTTTGGAAGAAACTGTACATAAAAGAATGAGTTTTTCCTGGTTTCTTCTTGCCTCTTTTTATCTCTGTCTTACTAAAAGTGGATCCTTTTCTTTGGATGAACTTTAATCTTCTATTTCTGGGGTTTGCGTCCCAGACCCGGTGGCTTAAAACTCACGCCGGGCACATGTGCGGGCGTGCCCAAGATCCCGAGAGGAGAATGGAGGAGAAGGGATTGTGGTGTGGCCATCCCTCCTGGGGAATGATTTCTCGCTTTCTCTCTCTCTGTCTCTCTCTGTCTGTCTGGCGAGCACACGTGCCCTATAGCAAAAACCTCTCCAAAAAAAAAAAAAAAAAGAGAGAGAGAAAAAAAGAAGAGAGGGAGGAAGAAAAGGACAAAGAAAAATATACATAGATAAAATTTTATTTTGTTCATGATGGAGTGTGGCATGCATGCCCATGTGTACATATGTGAGTCAGAAGAGCAGCCTTAGCAGTTTCTTCATGCTGTAGTTTTCTTTCCCCAGCTCTCCTGCTCATCAGAATTTTGGACATGTGTGTGCTCAGTGATTCATGTGGACCAGACATGGGAATGCAAGTTTCTTTTTGAGTTCTTAGTTTTATTTCCTTTGTATATATCTGGAATAGTAGAGTAACTGGATCATGTGACAGTTCCACTTTAATTTTTTTTTTTTTTGGAGAGGTTTTTGCTATAGGGCGTGTGCGCTCGCCAGACAGACAGAGACAGAGAGACAGAAAGCGAGAAATCACCCCCCAGGGGGGATGACATGCCGCAATCCCTTCTCCTCTATTCTCTAGGGATCTTGGGCATGCACGCACATGTGCCCGGCGTGAGTTTTAAGCCACCGGGTCTGGATGCGAACCGGACGCGAACTGTAGTCGGCTACACGGGAGTCCAGTGACGTAGCCGTTATGCTAACTGCTGCTCCCTCCACTTTAATTTTTTTGAGGTATTTTCATTTTGTTTTCCTCAGTGACTATATTCACATTCTTATCAACAGTATACAAGGGTTTACTTTTCTCTACCTCCTTGCCAGACACTTATCTTTTGTTTTAATAATAGCTGTTCCATTTTAACAAATGTGAGGAGATATTGCATTGCGGTTTTAATTTGCATTTCCATGGGACTTTGTGATACTGATTTTATTTTTCTTATTCATGTGGGTCTACTGGCTTTTCAGAATTACCTAATCAGGTCTATTTATTTATTTATGTATCTATTTATTTTTCTTTTTTGGAGAGGTTTTTGCTATAGAGCACGTGCGCTCCCCAGACAGACAAGAGTCAGAGAGACAGAAAGCGAGAAATCAGCCCCCAGGGGGGATGGCCACGCCGCAGTCCCTTCTCCTCCGTTCTCCTCTGGGGATTTTTGGCCCACATACACATGCACCTGGCGTGAGTTTTAAGCCACCAGATCCAGGACGCAAACTGCGGTCGACTACATGGGAGTCCAGTGACATAGCCATTACGCTAACTGCTGGTCCCCCAAGTCTATTTTTTTTAAAGGCTATTTGTTTTCTTATTTTGAATTTCTTAAATATTTTGAATATATATCCCTTAGTAGATGGATTGTTTGTAAAAGTTTTCTCACATTCCATAGTTACTCTGTGTCTTCATTTGCTACACAGAAACCTTTTAGTTTTGATAAAATTGTATTTGTCTATCTTTGCTTTTGTTGCCTCTGCTTTTGGGGCCATATTGAAAAAATGTATTGCCCGGATTAGAGTCAACAGTGTCAAGAAGCTTTTCCCCTTGTTTTCTTCTAGTTACTTTACAATTTCAGGTGTTGTGTTTTAAGTCTTTAATCCAGATTGAGTTGGTTTTTGTATATGGTGTGAGGCAAAGGTTCAGTTTTATTCTTTTGGATATAGATATCCAGATTTT